ACTCATTATCTATATAGTCAGAGAGAAAGAAAACTAGCATGGATGGATGAAGGTCACAATATTTGGAAATATGTTAAACCAACATTTCATAGTTTTACTTTCTAACCAATCATGCATGTGTGTACCACTTTGATTATTTCTTTTACAGCTCCAATCGGAGTGTTTAGCATTGTAATCTCCAAAAATAAAAAAATTCTTATCTGTGTGTTTCGACAACAGCTGGAATGGTGGTATGGTTCCTGGAGGAACATAAATAGCTCCTATATATATACATTGTTGTGATAAAGTTATTTCTGCTAGAATAAAATTAAAATCTTTTTCTTTTATCTTACAGTTAATACCATGATGATGCAGTATCATTACTCCTCCGAAAGAATTCGTTCCTTCTTGAGCAATAGAAACATAGTTCGGAAACTTTATATTTTTTCTTATAGCTGCCCCTACCCCTGTAAGTATACATATATGTGGATAATATGTAGAGATTAATTCGTCGACGTCCGCAACATGAGTATTTAGTCCTTCAACATTATATACAATACATGAAAGATTTTGATTTCCATCGTATTGATCAATTAGATGTAGTTCGATCGTTGGCGACGAAAAGTGAAAGAAATTACTATTTATCATTTGATAATAAACTATTTATCGCTTGGATCATCAATGATCCTTGCTGTTCTACAAGTAAGTTCATTGCCTTTTGATTCGTGGTTAATAAATCGTTTCTGTCTTTAATGTATTCGAGTGATTGAGAAATGTGTTTTAGTATACTTTGAGATTCAAATAAGTCATTTTCACTTGTGTTTAACATACCGTTTTTTGATATAAGACGTTGAACAACTTCAAGTGTGGAAGATAATACAGGTAATACTTCATTAATTGTTGTATAACATCTTTCAATATTCTCATTTTGATTTTTCGTTTGTTGAGACATAATTATAAGAATTGATCCCATTTTCTTCATGTGATCATCGTATCTGGATTGTATTGTTTGCATTTTTACATTTAATTCTACTTTTAAGTTATTGATTTCATCTTGTTTTTTCCTTAGATCCTCCCATATCGATTGATTATTACATTGGTGAATATCTATGGCATTATTGGTTTTATTTATTGTTGGCCATTCGTGTGATGATAAATTAAATGGTAATGCGTTGTTCATATTTATATGTGTGGCAATGTTTTTATGTATAGGATTGAATAAGGTCCGATTGTTCTTATTATTTCGATCACGATACTCCAATGGTATAAATAATTTTAGATTAGGAGGTAGAAGATTCGGTTGTTCTTTGAGTTTACAAAGAATTGATCGACGATAATCAACTAGAAAAGGACATTGGTAGTCAGTAGAGAGGTGGTTTTGTAGACATCGGTGACATTTTATCTCGCATTCTTTATGATTTCCAGTTGTACGATCATTTCCACACCTGCGGCAAGCATCATATTGAAAAGTACAGTTTCTTCTTACATGTCCCGGATCGTTACATTTTGAACATATTAATACTCGAGGAGCAGCCAGGAATTCTTGAGTTTCAATTACTTGACCATCAATTAGAATACTTCCACTTTTGAGAAGTTGATTATATTCATTGATTGACGCTAGTTCAATACGTATGTGTCGAGATCTTTCAGACATTGTTCCTCTCATATCTTCTATATTAAAGATTGAATTTGCAATATTTCCAATTTCATTTTTTATATCATCGTGACAAATGTAATTTGGAACGTATTTTAGTACAATTGAGTGTTGAGCAGGTAGATGTTTCGGTTTTGTGACATGCACAATTGTATTGTATAGTGAATTAGGATAATTTTGGTTATTACATAAGAAAACAAAAAGTTCAATATGTCGAGTGAAACATAATAAATCGCCATTTTTATCAACGTGCCAATGATCAAAGCCCAAAGGATGTTCATAATGTTTATTAATACGACGAAAATCTTTATCAATAGTTGTCAATAATGTTTTGATTATTTCTTTTCCAATGTTCATCTGAGTGATTTTAGGTTCACAGATGAATTTTAGTGGAGGTAGATGATTTTCAACAGCATAGTGTAGTGCTTGTTGGGAGATTCGAACCGCTTCACCTTGTGTATCATTCACTCTCTGATTTTCGCTTTTCTTTTCTATTATATGTAAATCAGGTGTATTATAATCATCTACTGATTCATTCATATCTTCTATTAATTCATTGTTATTTTTTTTATTAATCTTTTTATAATTATTTGTTTTATTCCGTGAAAGTGTTGGACCAACAAATATAATTTCATCATTATTGCTTTTGTTCGTTCTGTTACTTCTATTCACGAACAGACGTCCATTTGGCGTATTTGCGGTCGACGAGTTATTGTTATCAATAGTCAGCTTATCCATGTTGATATTTCCATTTATTCGTTGTTTCTTTTTATTATATCTGTTATTAACAGTAGTAAATTGATCGTCATTACCGTAGTAATTATCACTTTCATTATTAATTTCTTCATCATATTGACTTGTTGAAGTAAGCTGCCTTTTGAATGAGTTATTTCTGTTACTTGAATATGAATTTCTTTTTTGTTGTAGGTTTCTTTCGACTGCTTCATTGAGTGCACCATGTTGTCGAATCTTTTCCGTTATAATTTCATTGTTTGAGTCGCAATATCTATCTTTTTCTTCAGTGGTCATGCGTTCAAATTGATTATATGTATATTGTGACATTCGAATTTAATTAATTAGTTTTATTGATTAAAATAAATGTTTTGCACTATGTGTGATACATATAGTATACACACATAACAGGAGAACAGAAAAATACGTCTTACTACCGACGTGCAACGAGATGAATGACAAAACAAAGGTTTGCTATAAAGAATTCTATATAAAATAAATTGAAATAATAATAGAAATTCTATATAAATAGAAAGCTGTACTTCCGATACTTGATTCAATGTTAATAAAATAACAACGATCAGATGGAAATATCAACATGGATAAGCTGACTATTGATAACAATAACTCGTCGACCGCAAATACGCCAAATGGACGGCTGT